GTTCATACAAAAATTGCTCCCTGTAATTTTTTCCCAGCCATGACATGCATTGTCCAGCTCCATATTGATCTCCAAGCTGTTCAAATTGCTTCTGAGCCTTTATCAGTATTTTTATAGCCTCATCATGGTTAACCTGCTTGTGATGAATGACACCCACACTTTGCAGACACTCAGCAGTTCCATGCTGATCTCCAATTTGCTCAAACAGGGTATGAGCCTTCATCAACACCTCACTACCTTCACTATATTTGTCCTGCATCAAGCAAATGTTTCCAAGGCTTTGCAAACACTGGGCAACACCCAACTGATATCCAATTTTCTCAAAATGGGCTTGAGCTATCATCAACCTTTCATTGGCTTCATTATACCTGTTCTGCATTAAATAAATGTCACCAATGCTTTGGAGACACTGGGAAGCACCCAATAGATTTTGAATTTCTTCAAATTGGGCCTGAGCTTTTGTTAAGATTACTCTGGCTTCATTGATTTTATCTTGCATTCTATATATTTCACCAATGCTATGCATACAGTCTGCAGATTTTTCCTTTTCATTATTCTTGTCAAATTGATTTTTGGCATCCAAAAAGCATCTGAGTGCTTGTTCATATTTATTTTGCCACCTATACATTTCTCCCAGCTCTCTGAGACACCTTGCTTCAGTGAGTGATTGCTTTTCTGTGTGAATAGAACTTCTGATCACTCCAATTTCAGCTTCAGTCTCTGTCCACATTGCCAACCATCTGAAGATTTGTATCCTTTTTAGTTGAAGTTCAAGTCTCTCATCTCCTGGTAAATTTGAACAATTCTCTAGAATATTGTTGATAACATCAAGAGTAAGCTGATGAAAACTTGTAATTCTGAATAAAGAATTGACAACATCTATATGCTTATCATTTAATGTGTTCTTGACCTTTGCATTCAATATTTTTGTAATGTTCATGATATGTGGCTGCAATTGATTTTGAAGCTCTTTATTATGCCCAGGCAAATGTTCTACCCAATTGACATAAAATTCATCCAAGGCATCCAGATCATTTATGTCAATACTGCTTTGCTTCTGGATGTATTCCCGAATTGGTGCCAAAACTTTTATGCCCAGGTTTTGGCTGTATATAAGGGAATGTTCAATCAATGTATGAACTGAAATATCTAATGATTGAAATCTTGGCAACATTTCAGGGAGGATGAACACCCAGTTGGGAATACCATCTGGTAGAAAGCATATGATTGCAAGGAGTCTAGCCTCTCTCTGGTTTAGCAGTTTTGTGGACAAGTCTATTGACATTTCAACACTACTTAGCCGATCAAGTCCTTGACCATCTTTCAGTGCTGATGTTTTTTCACTTTCCCACATTCTCAAAAGCACCTCAATTGGTAGACTTTTTGCTCTTTTTGCTAGTAGCCTTATTGCAAGGGGGACACAATCCAATTCCTCCAATAGTTTATCCACATTTAGATCATTTTTTAGATCCAACCTATTTCCTGAATTTGCATGAAATGTCTTTCTTGCAGCATCCATAGATAAATTTGGTATTCCTGATTCTGTACCAAGTATATGCCAGTTTAGGTCTGCTGGAATATTTGTTCCTCGCATGGTCAGGATTATAGATAGATGTCCAAATTTAGCTATTTTTTCTATGAAGTTTTTAATAATACTTCTACCACCATGGTTGTTCCACGGTGTCTCAAAATTGTCCAGGATAAGCAACATACACTTTGTGTGGGCTTGAAGATAGCTGTAAAGCTGCTCATGTTGACCCTTTCCCTCTTGAGCAGGGATTTTGAATGATCGAAGAATACCCTGAACAAGAGATGCTCCTTCAGGTAAAATTTCACAAGGAATAAAGTAGCATCTGTCCTCATATTTGATTTTGATAATTTCTTCATTGCTGATTTTAAGTGCAAGGGATGTTTTACCCATTCCTGCTGGACCCAAAATTGCAAGAAAAGCTTGCTCATTAGTAAAAAGATATTCCGCTCCCTCCTTGACCAAGTTATCTCTGCCGAAAAAGATCCGTGGAATTGCAGGAGTGGCTTGTTCAAGCTCGCTTATTATACTATCAGCATCTACAAACAGAATTATATTTTCACTACTTACTCATACGTTATTCCTTGTTGATTATGAATAGAAATCGCAGCTAGTGATTTCTGCATCGCTAACTGCTCCTGAAGAAGTTTATCCTGTCTTTGCAGAATTTCTGCACCTGTTTGCCAATTATTCACATGACTCTTGATCTAGCAAAATGATTAAGTTAGTAAAAAATACAATAAATCTGAGATCACATACATTGAACAATTCAATAAAGGTTTTAATCTTTTCTTTACACTCAGATATGATTTCTGCATCACTCGTAGCACGAAAAATCCTCTGACTCATTTTCTGCTTGCTAATGCTTTCAAGTTTCCTCTGAATGCCTTGAAGATCACTGTTGTAGGAAGCATTACTGAGTATCACTAATATATAGGATTGAAACAAGCATACCCTTTTAGCTTTTCGATGTTCCTTCTCAGACCATCGTCTATTGTCAAATTTTTCTGTTCTATGATATCCTTGATTCCTTCAAAGATATCAACAATGTTGTGTGCAATGTTGACACAGTCCTCCTTATTGTTTTTGGTAGCCTAAGAATTACATTGTTGATCTCAACTATCAGAAATGTGAATTACAATAACAAACCTCTGCAATTTCAATGATCTTGGTTGCTATTTGAGCAGCTCCTTCAAGTGGAGGAAAACCAGCTGCTTTTGAAACACTTGCTACTGCAAATAAGATCCCTTTCGCATGGCTCAAGTCGAGTCTTTGATCCTCGTTTTCCTTGTTTTTGAATGCTGAAAACAAATGCATTTGCAAAATAACCCTATAAAGACATTTTAGTTGAAGATTCCGGAGAGCAATGTAGGACAGACACGTGCCAGAGTATACGTCAACGGATTCGATCAACTCGTTTGATGAAAACGTGATACATATCATACCGGGTTTTTGAACCTTAATTCTGAGGAGCATGACATGCCGATGTTTATTTATGAGTGCCAGAATGAATAGAGTGCTAAACCTTATTTCCATAGATGCATGCTTTGTGCAACGCCATGTTGACGTTGCAGTATCGGCCACTGGTTTGCTAAGGAAAATAGCAAAGAAAACTGTTTGATTTGTGTCGAAAATGATATGAATTTTAATGCTGATTTTCTCTTAATTTTCACTATAGAGACCTTTTATTGCATTCTTTTGTCCATGAAGAATAGTAAAATTCAGAGATTACAAATGTTAGTAGTGAAATAGAGCTGCTGATTTCTCCGATGTCAGATACAGAGTAACAAATGGCTAACTCCCCCATTCAAACGTAACACAAATTCCGGGGGCTGAAAACAGTTAAATACTTCAGACTGAAAATTCAACCCTGAAAAATCAAATTTCCAGCGGTTTCATGACCCAAACATCTCGCTTTCCCTCTGCCCCTTCCACGTCAATCTTTTCCAAGAGATTATTCCGATCAGATCCATGATATATAGCGATGTGATATACATCCCTCCCGGTCGAATTGGGGTTCTCAACCTCCTGGTCGAGATTTGGGCCATGTGCATTCCATTTTAGTTTTGATGCGACACTGGTATCCTCCGGCACAATAGTCGTTCCTTTTGATATTACCAGGAACACATCATCCGAATGCAACTCCGTCAAGTTTCCTATAGTGCTAGGCTCCTTCTCCCCATTCAACTCAAATACACCGTGAAGAGCATTTTTCATAGCCTCAAAATCCACCCCAACATGTACCATACTCTCCAACTCTAGAAACTCCAAGAGCGGGCTGACGATCGCTTGATGCGCAGGGGTAGAGACAGAAGCGTAATGTGCAGACGGAGAAGACCAGCCTGCGAGGATAAATACGTTGGTAGGAGAGTCGCTTCTATCCTGCTCTCGTTCGATCGAGGTGAACAGGTATACAGGGAATCCAGATAAGGTGCGTTGGACGTTCCGGAGTGATTTCAAGGCGGTAGCGAACGGAGTGTTCGAAGCGGTCGATTCGGAAGGGAGTTGGTGCGGTGGTTTGATGGAGGCTATGACTAGTTCTGTTACGGGCATTGTCGTGTCTATTCTCTGGGAGCTGAGACAGTAGTTAAATGCAGTGCAGGACAATTATCTTGAATTTATATGAATCGTAAACGCCGTTGCGGTTGAAAATCTACGGCCGCACAGGTGTCCGGGCCAGGTCTTGGGTTATGCATATACATCGTGATGTACAAAACTCGTGCAGACAAATTGACTAGAGGAATGGCAAAACACTTAAAGTCGATGTGAACTTTCAGATTATCGGCATGTTCAAGTGGTCGCAATAAGTATGGCCTAAGTCACTAACTTGAAAGCCCGATGCTTATAATGTTTACTCAATAGTGAACCTGGTATTAATCCGATATATCTTGTTGATCTGAATGAAATAAAATCTACAACTCCATTGCAACTCTAGGATCGCGACGCACCTTCAGCGTCAACACTTCAGAATCGGAAGCTTTAAACAAAATTATGGTTGATGTGTACTCAATATTTCATCAAGAAGTTGAATAAAATGTACTAGGACATAAATTCATTCATCGTTCATAAAAGTATGTTGAGTTTAAATAGTCAAATATTTAGTCTTGCCTAAAAAAAAAACGAACCAATGATGGGAACTTATCGCCAGAAAAACAGCATTTTCAAGTAAAGTCCCTATAAATACTTTCCAGCGATGATATAAGGAACTCGATGACAGTAATTTTCAAAGGCTGCTACTAATACTAGTACAAATATCTGTCATTTATTACGCGCCGAAGCCATGTTTAGGAAAGTATATGGCAGGCTTGAAATATTTTACATTTACAAAGTTGAATATGCAGTTCCATATCCATAGCTCTAATTGGCCCACTTCAGTTTTAAAGTTTATTTGAAAATAATTAATCGTTCGATTGTTCGTATGGTTCCCGTCTCATAGTTTCACTGAATAAGTCCAAGGAGGTGAAGACTTCAATCCCTGGTAGTATATCGGTTAGTACACGCGCCTGTCACAGAATAAGTCTGCGCGCGAAAGCTGGGTTCGACTCCCAGCCAGGGAGTGTGCACCGTCTACTCCTTTTTGACAATTTTCCTTCTATGGTCTTTTTGTGATACCTACATGCCTAGTATCTGCTGACAATGCTACGAGGGTAATTGTTCATGTATTCTATACTTTCATGTAATAGCAATAAATCACATACCATTCAAAATACTTTGGAAACAGCGATTTAAACCGACAAGTACGCTTGTTATTGTATACACCCTACATCTCCGGACTCGACTCTACTCCCAGGAACCGCCCCTTCCGCCCGTATCACCACAAAATCATCGCATTCGCTTCTACTCAAATCCATGAAGCATGAAGCACCGGGCTGACGACTAGCAGAGGTAGGACATTCCGGTGCGTTGATGTCCGCATTGTCTCAAATGACAACTGAAATGGTGTGATGCTACGGGCATGGTTGACGAGTAGACCTCCGTTCGCAGTTGACGTGAGAGACGCGTTGATCGCGTGTCGACGCGTCAACCCGATCAGGCAGGTTATCAGATATTGCTTACCAAATCAAATCAATCCATCTTCCCTTCCGACTCACACTCCAAGTCAATCCCATATAAAACCGCGTCCAAATCCACCACAATGCCCCTCAAACAACTCAAAATGCCAGGCACAACAAATCCATACACTCCCGACTCTTTCAGGCCGCTTCTCAAGCGACTCGTTGAGACTCCAGAGTACTTTACCTCTTCAGACCTTGTGCATGCACTTAACCATCTCTTTACGCCGAATACGCTCAATCCGGAGCAGATTGGGTCGTTTTTGACTGCGTTGCATATCCATAGGGTCGAACGAAGACCCGAGTCGTTGGCAGCTGCCGCGCAGGTGTTGAGAGAACGCAGTCTCAAGGCTCAGATCGATGGAATGGAAGGTGATTTTATAGTTGATATTGTGGGTACTGGGGGAGACGGCCACAACTTGTTTAACGTGAGTACCACGGCGGGTATTGTTGCCGCTGGGGCTGGAGCGAGGGTTATCAAGGTACGTTTTCTCCATCTCCTTCGGATACCCGAAATAACAATATTGGTAGCACGGTTCTCGAGCATCAACCTCTTCCTCTGGCTCTGCAGACCTCCTCCAAGCCCTCGGATGCATATTCGTCGCACCACCTCCCATACCCAACGACGGTCCAAAAATCTACACAAACCCCGCTCTCAACTCACCCAATCCAACACCCGGAACAACACCTCCCGACAGTCCTACCAATTCCACTCAACAAGATAAAAATAAAGACGAGTCTACACCCACACCTACGCCTTCGAAATCAAAATACACCCCAATCCCCTCTATACCCTTCACATTCATCCTCGCACCACACTACCACCCCTCCCTCTCCTACCTCGCTCCATTTCGCCGAGCTTTACCCTTCCGAACCATGTTCAATATCCTTGGTCCTCTGATCAACCCCGCTCGTCCACGTGGTATGGTTCTTGGTATTGCAGAGCCCGAATTAGGGTGGACGTTTGCCAAGAGTTTATTGGAAGGAGGTGTAGAGAGGGCTTTGGTCGTCTGTGGAGAAGAGAGAATGGATGAGGTTAGTTGTCAAGGAGGAACTTGGTGTTGGGGATTGGGTGTTGATCTTGATGAAATGCTCAAGGACGTGGCGGAGGAAGGTGATGGTTGGGATGGGGTGGTGGAAGAGGGTGAAGGAGGTGTGATCAAGTTTAAGGTTACGCCTAAAATGTTTGGGTTGCCTTCGCATTCTTTAACGTCTGTTGCTGGAGGTTCACCTGTGGATAATGCAAAGACGTTTAAAGATATGTTGGAGGATTCAAATTGGCGTTCGGGGGGAGTACCAAAGAATCTCGAGGCGGTGTTGCATTTTACGTTGATGAACGCGTCGGCGCTTCTAGTTGTTGCTGGGGTGGCCAAGACATTCAAAGAAGGTGTAAGGTTGGCAGAGGAAAGTGTGAGGAGCGGGAAAGCTTGGGAAGCATTCGAGAAGTTTAGGGATGTTGGGATAAATCAGGATAGGGCGAATAAGGGCGTGTAGGTAACTAAAAGGTCACGACGGAATGTAAAATATCATTAATTTATTTCTATCGAGTTAATCTTTAATTTATAATACCCAGTTGTAACCTTGGGCAAAACGATGAGAGCATTACGAAAAGTAAATTCTTACATTTCAAGCTCCCTGGCTGGGAGTCGAACCCAGCTTTCGCGCGGCGTTGTCGCATGACAGGCGCGTGTACTAACCGATATACTACCAGGGAGTTACTGTAGGCATTTTGTAACAATTAGTAGATAGTCTACTTGAAACGATACTTATCTGGCATAAACATTTGACAATTATTACTGCTTGATCTCACTGAGTACAGGCTGTAAGAAAATTATGTAGTAGAGAAGCTGCTTGGAAGTTGATTTAAGGAAGGGCAAGCGCAATAGTCCACCTATCTACTCAATGGTTAACTCGAGCAGTAGTATTTTGACAAATTTCTGGTAGCCGGGATTAGTAGGCACGTTGTATATTCTTAATGCTATGAACTCACATTATACCATTCCGATGCACCTTTCCACACTCTCAAAGGTCTCTCCCAGCATCGCGGACATCAACGGACGTTGATGAAGACCGGATTAGTGAGAAAAAGTGACACGGTCGGTCGGCTGGTAGCTGGTTAAGTGGATTTGATCGGTACCAATCAAAACCAGTAATCTGTTAGGGTACAGACAATTATTAGAGATCACAAGGCTTGGTCCGTCGCTGGTGCTCCGCTATGATAAAATGTAAAAGACTACCGAAAAAATAATGTCATTAAAATGGATACATCTATTTACCATAATTGCACGGATAACTGATGACGGGAAAATGGCGGGATTGTTACTGGAGTTATGAGATCAGTAAGACATCTATAAACTTTAACCAGTAGAATTTATTTGCAAGTTTACAACCTGTGTAATTATGAGTAACTCTTTGCGTGCTATTTAGATGTGAATTTTCCATGACAAGAAACTAATATACTTCCACCAGGCTTACCACTTTTATGGGAATATAAATTTTCATTTTAGTACAGACATAGAACCAATCAACCGACAAGCAGACCAACCGGGCATGACTTTGCACAAGCTACATGACGACAACTTGAACGTCTCGGAAAGCAGCCAGAATACACGACGGTGAGTAACTTTGTTGATCCTTTGACCTCGTGATATAGTGCCTTTTACTCCGTATTCTCAATGTGGAGATTCATTGAAGACACTGCCATAGACGGAGATACGGACACGAAAGCTTCGTGGGTTCGCGACTCTGAACCGGTGGTATCTGCAACCTACAGCTGTACATCGTCGCACTATGATCGGGATTCCGATTGCAAATCTTCTGCGCAGTCCAATGTCGCTGCGAAAGAGAATTTGAAAGAAATACATCAATATATTGGAATGTTGTTGATTTAGTGCTTGGCTGCCAGCAAAGGTGATCATTGTTGTTCTTGTATGCACGTGTTACTCCCCCTTTTTTTCAACGACACTTTAAAGCAGCGACAATTTCCCAGAGGAGAACATACGGATGTACCAAATATAGAACTCAGTGCAGTACAGGATAGGAACGGACGATAGACGCGGGAATACAAACAACAACGGTAACGGGGAGTTGCTGAACGAACGAGTGGTTGTCGGATTGCATCAGTAAAATAACCATTTTATAGATGGTATAGAGGTATGGTAGACATAGAAGGATCAATAATCTATACATCCTATACATCCTTAGCAGATTTCCGCTTGTATAGAAAATCTCACATTGCATGGGAGTATAGTCTGTATAGAAAGACATTGTACAATTAATTCTGAATAATTTTCTGGATTCTTTTTTGACGATTTTTGCAGCTGAAAATCCCTAGGGTATATTACACTGTATTCAAGCAAAACCAAAGTGAAAGTGCACGCTACGTAATACTACCAGTACTTATCTCAGGATTTTGAGTGCAAGCACTGCCGGCCACCTTCAACCAGAGGGATTGGTATGTAATATGGTTAGTGACAGCAACGCTACAATGCTCTGAGCCTTCTAGCGTTGAGTCAGTTTTATGGTTTCGTGACGCTACACGCGGAACTACTACCAAGTCAATTCAAACTCCGCTGGATCTAACTATACAGTTGATCAAGCCACCGATTACATCATCAATGTTGATTTTTCTTTCACCGCTCTGAGTCTTCCCTTCAACGCGTTGCACTATGTATGCGCACATCTTGCAAAAATACCCTGATACGCCGGCAACCTTTTTCTCCTCAGGGCTCCAGTATCGCAACTATGCCCTCAAAGCTCAAGTATTGCAACTTCACCCTCAAAGTTCAAGTATTGCAACTCTGCCCTCAAAACGACGTCATGCAAATCTTTGGCCGCTCTTCAAGTTTATTCAACTTAGCATCTACTATTGTCCTCCAAGCCTGGGGATACATACTCATCTTTCATACTTGCAACAGTTCTGCTCATTTCGGCCTTTGATGCATGTATTTCCAGTTGGTATATTTCTTATCATCTCATTTGTAATGGCTGTATACTCGTTAGATTTGCTATTGTATGAGTTTTTACTTGTATAGATGTATCTTATGTAGAACAATAAATTCATTGCTTTCATCACTATTATGAATGAAGAAGCGGTCACTGGTTATATATGGTGTATATAGTGTATAGTTGGTGTATAGAAAGGTATAGGAGCATTCATGAGCCCATACAAAATTCTCACATCTTTGCTATACATCGGTATAGTGAGAATGCATACCCCCCCTTTTCTATACATGCTCAAGCTGTATAGAAAGTATAGTGCTGTGACATCTATACGCTCCTATACCGATCTATACACCTCTATAAATGTGCGAGTCTACTGATGTGGTTGTGAATAGTGTCTTCGCAGAACTTGAGATATATAAGTTTGAACAGGCTTGGTGGTTGGAATTTGAGCAGGTCCCATTCCTCCATTCCACCTTTTGCTTACGATGCTTTCATGGGCTTTATATCACGAACTGAATGGTCTTCTCTCTTTTCTGCCCTTCTCAAAGATCAACGTTCTAGCATTTCTAACTGTTTTAACATCATGCTTTTTCTCATTGTACTTCTTGTTTCAACAACTCTGGCTCACACAAACCAACAACCAGTACGACTCTCAAAGTAAGATTTAACGTCGACCTTTTGTCTGTGCAACGTTCACAGCTTCTCTCTAGCGTACGTCATGGGTACAAGTCCATCCAACTCTAGCTGCGATACCCTTGTCCCACCGACGTCTGATCACGGAAAAGGGTTTTCGCCTCCACCAAAGTCTTATATCGACTTCTTTGAAGTAAAGATCGCAGATGGTGGCCATACATACGTCAAAATATCCCCGTATATCGACGAAGAAGAAAGCAATTCGGAACGCACCCGCGTCGGGGTAGACATATCCTGTCAATCATTTAGCAGACAAATATCTTCTATCAGCACTCATATCACTCCTCGTCACGCAAAAGTCACTGGCGTTGAACCCTGCAGGGAAATAAAGTCAGGGGTTCAACAGATAAAATTTGAGACCAAGAGGAGAGAAAGGTCGAGTATTGGTTTACAGAGCATTGGGGTGTCCCCGCCCATAGGATTCGGGTTCAAGATTAAAGGAGGCTGGTTGAAAATGTCGGAGGAAGGGGAGACGCACAAGGGTATGAAGACTTCCTACGAAACATTATCTGGATTTTCTCGCCACGGGGACACTGCTTCTTTCATGCTCAAGGGAATTTCTCCCACATGTGGAGGGGACGGACTTAGTGGAGAGCATGGAGATATGCGATTTTATCTCGAGAATAATCCCCACGAAGAGCTCAAGTTTGATTATGATTGTCGAATTGAGCATGTCAAGGGCAAGAAGCAAAAGACGAAGAAGTGCAGGTCGAGGAATTGGTTCCAGAGGCACATCATGAGTCTATTCTGCCTTTGAGGATAGGTATTCGTGGTGCTCGAAGCAGAAAATGGCTGGTTCCATTGAAATCTGTCTTTGCTGCTGGTCTGATTGACCTTTTGACAATCGTTCCTCTCCTGTCATCTTATCGCCTCCTTTGCGCCGTGGCTGGATTTAGTCTGCGTGACTTTCCAAAAGGCGGGTAGTTCTACTCGGTCCTACGACGTTTGCCAAATTGGTTTAGGGAAACCGGAATACGGCGTACACTGCAGTCGTTAGACAGGCCGCTCTCCCGAGTCCTGGCAAAGGTTCGGCATCGCGAGTAACTCTTCCTCGTTCTCCGATGCCTCCATAAATCATCTCTTCATCCGCAGGCTCCAATCCAAAATTTATCACTGCCGAACGCAATGCACAGAAGAATTGGCATCTGAAGCTCAGGTACCCTAATACGGTGATGCTTCAGCTGCTGGCATGGCGATGTCGTTGCGGCTAGACGTCGCATGACTCGCATCTTACTCTGGTGGTATCGTATCCGAGTGATGCGATATCATTACTATCAAGCATGATATCCTGTTTCCAGTCATGCTAGGACGGTCTACAAGAACGGAGGACTTGCCAACTGTATTTGTGGGCATAGGTCTGCGTGCTGATGGTCATGGCTGGCTATGACTGCGTCTTAATCCTTGGTGATTATTCTAGTGTATATGTACATATGTATCATACATTATGTTTCCACCTTTACATCAGCAGACTAGCAAATTTATGGAGGGGTATAGTACTGTATAGTACTGTATAGACAGCATAGATCCAATACCTTCTATACGCTAAGAGCCTGTATAGAAAAGGGGGGGCATGTGCTGGTCTATACCAATGTATGGATACATACTGAAGTATAGATAGTAATAGAACTTTTTTACAGCTTGCTTTTTAGGGTTCTATAAGGTTCTATACCACTTCCATACACAATAAAAATCAGCGGCAAATGACAATAGCATTAATTCTTTACTACTGCATACATTGTATATACAAAACATCAAGATACTCCAAGCCTTATGCCCGACATAAATCCACCACTCTCATCAAAACAGTCTAATTCTCAAGCTATGACATGCCCTGCCATCACACAATCCCAATCTCCTCAAGCAGCTCCTAAAAATGTAGAAGGGTCAAGTCAGAAACAGATCAACAGAAAAAAATGAGCACGCACTGAGTTATCCCTACAATGTCTAACAATGCCTTAGATTACTGTAAAACTTTTATCAGTATTAGGATAAAAGCCTACAGTACAAAACAACTCACCATTGTCGGCAAGGTCTAGGATGGACAATAGTAGCAAGGGGAAACAGCGGGAGTAAAGA